TGAGGGGAAAGCAGGTTGGAGTTATAGAAGAAACAGAGAGATTTCTTTGGGGAAAATTTCTCCTGCCCAGCTTGGCATACCTGCCAAAACTGAGTAAGAGAAGGCCTTTTGTTGCCTTTGTCCCATTTCTTGTCTCTGGGAGAATGGCCACACATTTGTTTCAACAAGCTTGTCTGCTTGTGCATTAATCAATTGTCTCAGCTCAGGCACATAGGCTTGGAAGGGACTTAAAAAGGGTTAGCTACAGCTGAGGCTCATGGAAGCAATTGGGGAAGCAGAGCAGTGGGGAAAGAGACCATGAATACAAAGTACAACTTTCAGGGACTAGATTAGAAGGGAACGGGTGAGGGAAAAAGGGGGAAGTCTGAGTGGAATAGGAACACCTGTTTTTTAGATCAGCTCAAAATCCCAAGATGGACTGTACAGCTTGACAGCAGCACTGCACCAGCTGCATCAGGACCCTAGTTTCCATTTAAAGGGTAATTTAAAAATAGAGGACGTGCTTCTGTAGCGAAGCACACAGAGTCTTCCCTCCGAGAGTAGTTCAGCAACTGGTCAGCTCCTAGGCCTAGTATCCTGACCGGTCGAGCAGTATATTTCTAGCTGTGTTGCTTCCAGTGGTCAATGTGGCCCAGAACTGGAGTACAATAGGCATCTATTTCTAACAATTAGTTTTATTGGGAGTATGTAGGGAAAACTAATTGACCCCTTTGTGGCACAACTTGGCACTAGGATGGTGCTTTGCAAATCAGTTGTCTAGGATTGGGTAGTTAAGCAGCTGCATTGCAGCTATGTTCAAGAGCATCTCCTCTCCCCCCATGCTTTTAGAAAAAGCAAGGAACTAGAAAACTTAGGAATAGTAGACAAGCATTTATTGAATTATGAAACATTAAAAATTAAGCAACTCTAGTAGCAACAAAGATTGCCAGGTCTGCCAACACCAGCTTCACCTTCTAGGACTGCGTCAGCACGGAGATAAGACAAACACTGAATATGCAGGCAGTCTCTTACCTTTTCTTAAAAACTGGTGTCATAGACTTATCTGATTTGCTTTTGCCAGGCAAGGTTGGTGACCCTGGCAAGTCAAAGAGCATAGGAGGCAGGGAGTGTTGTGAAGGGCAGAGCACTCAGGGAATTTAGAAGTGCTGAGTGTGCACCGAAGTGGAATAAGCAGCCCTGTAGAAGGGCTTGTGAAGAAGTGTTAACATGCAAAGTTATCACAGATTAGTTTGTGTAGTGAAGCTGTACACACCAGCTCCTGCTCACACACTTGGTGCATACTTCCTCGTCTTGGAAAGCCCTCAGATCATTACTGTTGGGAGAATGAGAGCACTTTTAGGATAAAGTAGTGCCCAGGCCATACCAGTACAGGAGAATGCACTAAAGTTTGGGCATGCCTGTGGCTGCAGTTGAATAGAGATGCCCCTTTCTCCCCACCCCCAACCAAACCTCTGCCCAGAAGTCATGCTACCTGCATGGCACCCTCATCTCATGGAGCAGCCAAAACTTTGAGCATGGCTGCAGTTGAAGGCCAGGAAATAGATAGCAAAGCACCACATGCTGCAGGCCAGCAGTAGCACTCAGCCTGTACACCACACTCTGGCCTTGCTCTAGTTATAGCAGAGCCACCAGCTGGAACAAGTCCCTTCTCTGGAGCTGGCAGAATTACAGCCACAGAAGCAGGATCTGCTGCTTCCCTGGATTCAGGCAGGCACAAGTTTACCACTTCTAGATCTGGGGTCTTCCATGGGAGCAATTTTACCCTCAGGTCCATGGGCTGAGGGCTGCATAGACTTCAGTCTTCCCTTCTGCTTCTACATGCTGGTAGAGGGGCCAGAGACCATAGCTGGAACTCAAAGCCATCGTGATCCTGTGTCACTACAGTAAGAATGGAGGAAGAACCCAACTATGGTGACAGTGCACGTGGCTTCAGTCTCATGTGTTCTTCATAGTGGGGTGCACGTTTTACAGGTTTAGTTCAGAGTCAGACTCCAGTGATTTCTCCCAAGAGAACCAGGCCACTGTCTGAAGTACACTTGTGCTTTCTAGGATCCATAGAGTAGACTGGGAGTCAGCATCCTGTCCGGTTGGATGTACAGGCCTTATTGCACGCTGGGCTGCAGCTTCTGGTGTCGAGTCAGTTTCTTCAGCGATTGGCAAAAAAGTCTTGGTCTCAGCCCCATTTCTTCTATGGGTAGTGGCAGAGCTGTGTGATCTGGAAGGAAATCCCTTAAGTCAGCTGCTAGTCAGGAGTAGCTTTATTTCCTTTTGTGCTGTCAGGTGCATCTCTGCAGTAGATTGGGCTTCCCTAATTTAACTTTGCGAACTTCAGTTGCCTGGGCACCAGCCTCCCACCATGTACATGGAACAGGCTGGCTTCAGCCAAAGTAGCATGGAGTCTCTTGCATGATCAGTGGAGGATCCATATTGCCATCTCAAAGACGAGCGAGTTGAACAGTCAGGGGTTAGGACAAGGGCAGTCACTGCTTTGGGCTGGACTTTGCTTTCTTGAGCCATCTGCAGAGCGGACTTGGTGTCAGCAGTAGGTTGTACAATCTCTTGCACACACGAAGGTAGCCTTTCAGCCTGGTCTGGCTTTCCACTAGGCCCTCAGTTTCTGGGTTTGCAGGTTGTGAACTATGCTCAACATCTTCAGTTACTTCTTTGCTGGGGGTAGAAGGTGCCTGTGAAGACTTCAACTGCCAAATCTCAGTTGCCTCTGAAGCAGCCATATCCATCTCATCCTTATCTGTGGCCCATACACTAGCATGCACCCCTTGTTTAGTTAGTGGAGTAGCTGGAGTCTCAGAATCAGGGTATGCAACAAGCCAAGGCTTGGCCATCTCTTCTGTACTGTCTACAGCAGTTGGGGCTTCTCTAGGCCATCTCACGTTTTTGGGAGCAGGCTTACTGTCCTGCATTACCTTTGTAGGAGGCTTGGCTTCTGTTTCCTGTAACACCTCACCTGAAGTCTGGACCACATCCCTGGCTTGTGGTACCTTGCCGATCCAAACTTGCAGCCTTTGCCTGAGGCTCAGATGAGGGGACTGATCCACTGCAGTCTTCCCCATTGTCTGTGCAGATGTATCCCATGTTACTGGTGCAAGAGCACCGCCAGGGTCTTGCAGAGCCTCTTCTGGGAGAGAGCAGCTCTGGTCAATCCACTCTGTAATCTCTTGTGAGCTTTGTGCAGTAGGAAGCATCTCCCCCCTTCCCTCCACAGCCTCTTGAGCTTTACATTTCTCACTTGATGCACACAGCCTCTTTGGGCTAACTTCATTCCCCATGGCCGGGGTGTACAGCAGCCACCCAGACAGAAAACTTTTCCTATAGTGCAAGTAGCAGATGTTTTTTTTTCCCTTTCTTCTTCTGTGGAAGTGGTAGTTGGGCAAGAAGCCCAAATTCTGCTTCTCAGGAATATCTTAGTAACCAGCTCCTAGCATCCCACCTGCAAGATATTAGGCAGTGTGTCAGTACCCACCTCCACCCTGCAGGAAAGGGGCCTAAAGCTTGAGCCAAAGCACATTAGGACACAAGGAGGTGGTTAGGAGCTTAGCTGAGCTGGTAGGATACAGCTGTAGCCTCTCTCAGCTTTGTATTTTGGGGGCACACCTGAAGTCTCAAGTGAAAGCAGTCTTCAAAACAAGTAATCAGTGAGCTACTTTGGAACACAGTGACATGTTCTGGTGTTTGCACACCAAGAGTGATTACAAGCCTCTTTGGCTGTCCTACCCTTCATCCCATTCCCCACCACTTGTTTTATTTGTCCAAAAGCAACAACAAAAAGGCAGACAAGTCCCAACTGAAGGCTGCTGATTTGACAGTGGCTTTTCCAGAAAACAAGCAGGATGTTTTAGTTTATCCTAAACTCTTGTTTAGCTTGTTTCAAAGGCAGCAGGAAACACTCTCCATGCAAATAAGCCAGCCTTCATCAAAAGTGTCAAATGAAAAGGTTTGAGTCTCTCAGTACCACTAAAAGCCCTTACTAAATCCATTACTTAGTTCAATTCTTTGCTGCCCGAGAGGAAATCTTAACACTTCACAGCAATGTTTAATTTACACTATGGAGCTACTCCAAGACCATGGTAAATAGCGTTCCAGTGCCTTTCATTTCCAAGGCTACATATTAGATATAGAGAACATTGTATCCAGACAGCAGAGACTATTCAAAGAATAGCGAAGATCAAGCAGAGAGGTACAGAAGAAGAGGGACAACAGTTTGAGAATATAGTAACCTATTTGATTAGACATTTTACTTAGAAATATTTTAGTGAATTAACGTAATAAAGTAGAGCAATACATTCATTTCTGAAAGATGGGAAAGCAATAAAATACATTAAGCTCCAAGCGAGAGAGAAAGTTTTGCTTGAGATGGCCTGCTGCAAAAGATAGCTCAGAACTGTTGGATCCCTAGTATCCCTGGGTAGAAATTGTCTCAGCAACAAACAGTAGGGATCTGGGGAAGTGAACACAGAGAGAGATATACACATATGCATAAGACCATCCTTACCAGCCTACAGAAAAACTGCTTTCAAACCACCTCAGAGCTTCACAACCCAAAGCCTCTACCGAACTCAACACTTGCCTCAAAAGGCAGCAGGATGGTCTTAAATAGGGAGGGATGGTAACACAGAATTGCTTCCCCTGCCTCTTTGTTTAATTTCTGTTCCCCTTACACTGCATGGGTAAACATATTCTGTTTCAGGGATTTAAGCTATACCAGGTGGTCATACTTCTTACATTTGAGCTTTTGTGTATCTGGTTATTTTTTATTTTGCTTTAACTACTCAAAGAAAAGTAGAATTGCAACATGGTATGGTATTTGTTCCAACAAACCGGTCATTGCTTACTAATATGTATAGCAGGCTGTTGGGTAATTGGCCTGTAATTAGGGGGTTTTGTTCTGAAATTATAGCCTAACTCCTGCATGCTGCCTCCCTACTCTACCCTTTGCCATGGCAATGTGAAATCAGGGAGGGTTGGGGTGATTAGGTCAGAGGAACCTTCATCCTTTGCTGCCTAGTCCCTGATGTCTAGGTCTGCTCTGTATAAGGACAGCTAGGTTCCCCGTATCTGCAGATGCTGATCTGGCAGCTGTACACCTTATCAGGATATCACTGTGATATTTTCAGGTTCCTTATGACACTTTCTCCAATGCTTTCACATATCCACCAAAGCATTTGAAGCATAGTGGCGGCAGATGACTAGTGGTATCTTCTGAAAATGGTGAGAATCAGAGCTAGTTGGTAACCTGGATATTTAGGGTATAGTTGGGACAACACGCAGAGATTCACATTTTTCATTTCCCTTTGAGTGCAACAGGCTTGGAAAGCACTGCTTGGTGCTTTGCAAAGAGCTGTTTTGATACAGGGTGGGAACACACATCCTCCTCCATTCCAGCTGCATGTACACTTTGTTCTGGAGAAGAGCCTGGAGGCCTGGAAAAGCCAAGGGATAGGAGAGGGAGCTGACCAAGCTGCTTGTACTAAGGGACAAAAGTCAACAGGAGCTTGGAGAATAGGAGACACCATACTGTATCACTGCGGGCAGAGGAGTGCTTGGGAACCATTAAAACCTTTCCTGCAGGATGGCTTTCAGCTTGGGGAAATACAAGGAATTCCTACAAGTGCAAACAGTGGAGGAACCATCTGTGTGATTTTGGCAAGGTGAGAGATTTTCTGAGAAGCTCTCTCTACTCAGAGATTTGCTGCTAAGTACCTGTCTGAGGCAAGTGGGTCAGTTATATCCAGAATCCATTGCGGTGTTTTAGTGAGTGGTGTGTCATTTAGCAGTGCAATTCCTGGAGAGGCAGGAGTTTATTTTGTGCAAAATGGCATCAATAACCTCAGAACAAACACAGACTTATGAAAACAGCTCCCATTTCCTTACGTGCCTCTCACCTTTTTGTCCTGAAGGGGACAAAATGGGACATCTCGATATTAAACTTAACAGCATGGTGTATATTTCCGTAGGTTTCCAGCTGGTTACTTATTACCGAGTTAATGCTAAAAGAATCAGGTAGAAAAAGTAAAACAGTGGCCCAGGTTAGAGTCCCAGAAGACACAGTGGAAAGAGAGAAAGTTTCTTGGGAAATAGCTCTGCTCAGCTCCAGGCAAGTTGAGCTCAGCAAGCACCTTTTATTGCCTCAGTCCTACCTGCTCTGTGCCTTTGGGAGAATGGCCACCCAACATTTGATCTGATGAACTTGTTTGTGTGTTCAGTAATCAGCTTGCCTTGTTCAGGCCCATAGATCTTGAAGGTACAACTGAGGCTGTTCTGTGGAAGTGGCTAGGGAAGAAAAGCAACTAGCTATTCAACCCCACTGCCGCTAGGAAACAGGTCACAAACGTAGTGTTGAATTGGTTTGGGGGAGGAAAGCAGGAAGTAACTAGGACAAAACTTTTTTTGCACTCAATCAAATCCTGAGATGGACTGTGCAGTTTGTGTTAATTGAATTGGGCACCAAGTTCCAGGCCAGACAGGGCGACAGGTCCTTCCTCAGTCATGGAAGTATGTGACCTACTGCCCCCTTCCCCCCCCCATATGGCATTTCAGCTGCTGGCTGGCTCCCCACAGATGGGCTGGAGATATCCAACATCTACATGGTCACAAGGTTCTTGTGTTACTTTAGGTATTAGTGTTTGCTCTTCCTTAAGGTCATGGAGCAGGTACCTGTTCTACCACAGTTCTTGGATAAAAGGTATAGTCTCTAGCGTATCTACTAGAATGTCTTCAATAGAAGCCAAAAGGCTTAGTTATAAAAGTACTAGCAGGTTTACAGACATGCTGCACTTTGAGATCCTAGGATCTCAGATTGATAACAGCATTGGCAGCTCCATGGCATTCCCCCACCTCATTCCAGAGAGCCACCTCTCAGCTCCAGCTAATAATAATAATAAATAATAATAATAATAAAAAAAAAAAAACAACAACAACAAGTGGTTCAATAACAAAGTTAGCATTTATTGAGTGATCAACATTAAAATTCAGGTAGCAGTAGGGAGTCCTGTGGTCCATCACAGACTTCATTCAGGATTACCCTGCTACAGGTGGGTTAGGACAACATGTACTAAGTTTAAAGGAGTTCCCTAACTTTATTGGATTTTCTTTGGTTTCCCAGTGTTTGAAGAAAGAGAAAAGGACAGCTTTGTCTAAGAATCACTATGTCTTCCTAGCCAAGTAACTCTTGTGACCATGTACTAGCTGTAGTGAAGGATCTAGATGCGTTTGTAGCAGCAAGCTAGGTATTGAGACATTCCCTTCTTACCTCCCCCACCCCCTCCACCCTCACTTCATGAGCAGCTATCCCCCTCTTACGGGTCAGCCAGTTCCAATTCCTCCTGCAGCTTTTTGTACCCTCTAGCAGGGTTTCTGTGACAGGCTGGGCCTTCAAGGCTCCTTGTCAACAGCCTCTGGCTACATATGCAGAGCAGAGTGGGCTTCAGCAGGGCAGCTTAGGTTCTCTCGCGTGGTCAGTGAAGGAAGTCCAGGATAGGCATCATCTTTGGTCAGGCCAGTCAAGAGTTTGCAGTCACTGCATGGATCTGGACCTCACTCTCTTAAACCATCTGCAGACTGGGCTTGGCCTCAGCAGCCTAGTGCTGTGTCTCTTGCATACAGCTGAGAATTTCTTCTGTGGAGTCTGGCTTCCAGCCTGTGGCATGTGCTCAGTCTCTCTGGCTAGGTCTTTGCTGCATGCAGGAGAAGGAGGCTCCACAGTCTCCAGGATGGTCTCTGGCTGCCCAGCCTGTGTCCATGCTCCAGCAGGCTGGGTCTTCCCAGCTCCTTCTTCGATTCCAGTCCTATATACCTTAGCCTCTTGCATGGTCTGCCTGATGGCATGAGGCCTGCATTGCATTGGCTGTACAGCCAGCTGAGCCTCAGTCTCTCCTGTGCTCTTTGGAAGGCTCTGGACTTCCCGTGCCCAGAAGAACTTTGGTTTTCTCTCTTGCAGCATCTTAGCAGGAGCATGGGCCCCACCCATGCCTTGTGATACTGCTCCAGTCTGTGCCTTTATCTGGGCCACTGGCTGGGTGTCCTGTGGAGACTGAGTATTCATTGTGGGAGAACGGGTCTTCCTAATCCATCCAGAAGACTCCTGTCTAGGAGGTGCAACAGGATGCACCTCACTGGCTCCTGTCTCAGCCTTCTGCTCTTTAGTATCCTCACATGGTTCACACACCTCTTTCTTCTGACTAGCTTTGTTCCCCATGGAGAAGGTCTGTAGAAGCAGCCCAGCTAGAAACCTGCTCCGAAGTTAGTTTGGCAGTTTACGATGGACTGTTAAGTGGGGTAAGAAAGAGGAGCAAGAAGCTACCTGTAAAGCATTAAGAGAGATTTATTAGGAGTACACCACCTCTGCAAGCTGATGTATACCCAGAACAGAGGCACAGACACTAGTTCCTGGCCTCTCTTGGAAGGGTGGATGCACTAGCAGGACACAGCTGCTGCCAAGCTACCACTGTTCAGTGTGGTATGGATATAGAATAAAATCCAGCATCTCAAGTGAGCAAATCCAGATAACTGGTTCTGGTATTCATATTCTGAGAGCAACTGGGAAAGGATGTTTTTAACTCCTCCTATTCCCCAAGCCATTTCCTGTTCCTCCCCTTTGTTGTTTTCTAGGAGCCTTTCAAAACCTGTGCAAGTAGCTAGGATGTTTGAGTCAGGAGTTCCTCCCCAAAAGAAAGGGGTGGGCCCCCAACACTTTCTACTCCCCCCACAAATATCACCTCTTAACATCATTAAAGAGCACATACTAAATGCATCAGCTTGGATGTGGTTTTCAAGCAGATTTGAAAACAAAAAACAAAACAAAAAACCCCAAATTTATTTTTGGTTTACATTACAAAGGGGCTCTTGCATAAAAGAAATATTAGGGTTTGTTTTTTTTAAAGTCATGGAGTGGAGGCCTTTAATTATTAACATAATCTCCAGCTTCATCTCAGGCAGATAGAAAGTTTATTCCAACTATTCAGACTCTTTTTTGAGCAGTTCAGGCAAATAGAAAGGCACATTTATTAGAGAAAGATGAACAGGTATCTTTAGAGGTACTTGAACTTGAGCAACAGAGACTTAGTTTCTTTCTGTCTCAGAAGCATAGAAGAGGAGGGCTAGGAGGGACCTCCAGGAATTATCTAGTCCAACCTCCCACTACAGGCAGGATCATCCCTATCCAAACCACCTATGCAAATTAAATTGTCCGGCCTATTAGTAAAACTACAGAGTCAGTCCTGGGACAGCCACAAGACATAACACCCTAGCCTGCCAGAGAAGTAGGGGGACACTGTCCTGTTGTTGTTAAAGATACAGAAGGGTCTCCTGATTATTTTTCTGGCACATGCAACAAAGGATGTTAGCCTTAACAATGTACAACACGCTTTGCTTTGCTGCTTTGAGCAGAAGACAGTGGAGGACCTCAGGAGCACCAGTACCCTAAGATAGGGTCCAACTCAGCAGTGCCTTTCATCCAGGAATGGAAGGAAGAATCAGTCCCATCACATGCAAACATACATCTTGGACACCAACTAACAACCACACCCAGAAACCTACATCCATTGGCCATTGGCCAACTTCAGTTGAATTTATCATGCTGTA